CTGCTCCTCACAGCTGCCTTCTAGGCCATCCCTGAAAAAATCTCCAACAGTAGGGAAATGGTTTTTACAGAAAGGGTGGGAAAGTTCTGGAATGGTTCTGGAGTCGCCATCCATGGGGGTGTTTAAAACAAGGCTGGGTGCCAGGGTTGAGTTGAGGTGTTGGGGTTGGGATGATCATGAAGGTCTCTTCCAACCTGGTGGTTCTGTGGTTCTGTGTTCCCTAGCCAGCATTATCCAAGCTTGGATGTGTTGAACAAAGCCTGGATGTGCCGCTGGGTGCCAGGGTTTAGTCAAGGTGTCGGGGAATGAGTTGGACTTGATCTTTAAAGTCTTTTCCAACCTGGTGGTTCTGTGATTCTGTGTTCCCTAGCATTATCTGAGCTTGGATGTGTTTAAAACAGCCTGGATGTGGCGCTGGGTGCCGGGGTTGAGTTGAGGTGTTGGGGCTGGGATGGATTTGATGACCTTTAAGGTCTCTTCCAACCCAGTGAGTCTGTGAATTCTGTGAATTCAGGGAATTCTGGGAATTTTGGGAATTCACAAGGAATGGGGAGGTGGTGGAGTCCCCATCCCTGGGGGTGTTTAACAAAGCCTGGATGTGACACTGGGTGCCAGGGGTGAGTTGAGGTGTCGGGGAATGAGTTGCACTCAATGATCTTGAAGGTCTCTTCCAACCTGTTCATTCTGTGAATTCTGTGAATTCTGTGAATTCTGTGAATTCTGTGAATTCTGTGAATTCTGTGAATTCTGTGTTCCCCAGCAGCATTATCTGAGCCCTGCCTGTGGTTTTAGTGCGGAGCTTTGGAATAGGACTGGGATCTGGGGGGTGTGAGCTGTGTTGATTTGCAGCAGGAGTCTTGCAGAGCTGTCAGCAGCAGGAGCGTTTCCTCTGAGCAGGTTTGGCCATTCCTGGGATTTTCTGTGTCCTCATGGGTGCATCGTGTGCTGATGCAGCCAGAACTGCATTAAACCACCAGGCCAGGCCCAGGGCTGGGGGCTGACCCCTCAGCAGAGGCTTTTTAGCACTGCTCACATCTCAGGGTGTTGATTGTGGTAACAAGTGCTGTCCGTTGTTCTGTCCGTGTCGTCCAGGGTGTCTGGCTCGCTGTGACCCCTCCTCCTGTTCTCTCCCCTCCAGACATTCATTGACATTTGTAAAGGTCTGCCCCAAACCAACCTGGCCTCCCTGGTCTACGCCCTGGTCAGCTCTGTGCTCCTGATCCTTGTCAAGGAGCTCAACCTGAAGTACATGAAGAAGATCCGGATGCCCATCCCGATGGAGATCATCATTGTAAGTGACACCTGGGCTGTCCCTGGAGCCTCCCTTGGCCTCACAGACCCTGCTGTAGATGTAGAGCACCTACACAGTGAGTGTGACATGGTTNGTTAGTGCTGTTATCCAAAGGCAAAGCTTGTCCTGGCTGTTGGAGGGGAATCTCCAGGGGAAAAGGAGCGGCAGGGATGCCCTGCAGAGGGCACTGGATCAGGCACAGTTCGGGTTTCTCCTTTGGTCCCGATCCCCGTGGGCGCAGCTCAGAGCTGGAATCTCAAACCCCGCGTGGCCGGGGCAGTTTTACAGCAGAGCGCTCCTGATGGCCCCTGTGATCTCTAAAAGGGTTGATGACCTCCCTTTCTAGAGCCATTAGCTGCTATTTGCATAATGATGCTGTTGACCTAAATTCTCCCCAAAGTTTCGGCTCCTGCATCATCCCCTCCTTCCTGCCCCGCTCTCTGCAATCCCCTCCCGTTCCCGCTCCGAGGCACGGCCAGGGCTCTCCCCAGCCCTGTGCAAGGACATTTTGCGCATCCCAGGCAGGGGAGGGGAGGCTCTGGCACATCCAGATCGCTCTGTAACCTCCCAACAGCCTGGATGTTGCTTCTCGATGCATTCTCCTGCCTGAATCACCACATTTCCCACCCCCTCTTCTCCTCCTGTGTTGGGCAATGACCCATTTAGATTCACACCAAAGCACAAATAATTACCGAGGTGCTGGCTTTATATCTGACCACTTCCTGCCCTCCCAGCCCGGGGTGATTCCCCCTCTCCTGGGCACGGGAAAATCAGGGATGGCTGAGGTTCATCATCCCCTTTGCTGAGACCCAGATACCGGGCAGGACAGGTCTGCCGGGATGTTTGGGCATCTCCATCACTGCCCATGAGTTAGCAACAGTTATCTCCCCGAGCATCACTTCCTAGAGGAGCCCGGGCTCTCACCCACGGCCGGGAGCGTTGGGAAGGTTCTGGAATGCTGGGCAGTGTGGCAGGAACGCCTCGGCAGGGATGCAGCCCTCAATGATCCCCTGTGCCAGTATCAACCACCCTGGCACAGCCTCGGTGGTGAAACCGAGCCATGGGAAAGGTCAAGAGCCCCGCCCGAGGCAAAAAGGCACTGCC